TTTAAAAATCATGAACATTTTTTATTTCCCGAATATTTGTTTCAAAATTGCAAACGTTTCTTGCATAAGCAAACATGTTTTAACAAAATTGTGAATATTTTTTGAACCCACAAGCATTTTATTTCAAAATTATCATTTTTTTAATTTTTCAAACTTTTTTGAACTCCAAATTATTTGAAGTAGAAAAAATAAAAATAAAAAACGAAAATTTAAAAACAGGCCGCTGGACAAGGGCCGGCCCAAACGGACGCGCCGCGTCTTCTCCTAGCACATAGAGCGCAGTATAGGAGGTCCCTACTGCATGGCCGCCCAGGCGGGGATTCCCCTTTGTGAAACGGTTTTTTATCACTTATAAGTGACACCGATGGGTAATATCTTGCAATTTTGAGGGCAATTTCCGTGATGTACCACCAGAAACAATAACCCTTTATTATTAGATTATAGATATAGGCATACATTTTTACATGGAAATACACATTTTTTAAAATTATATATGAACATGTAAAAATGTTTTCCTGAATGTCTGAAAAGTTATAAAAAAGCACATGCTCATAAGCTTGATGGGTTGAATCGTTCCATATTATGTGGTTGAATCATTGAATGAGCCCACGCGTTGCAACGGAAGAAAATAACATACACTCTTAATTCAATAACCATCACTCAAGACCACAATAGGTCCACGTCCATTATTTTAGCGACGCATCACATTTGTGTTGCTACTTATCCTCCTCACCCTCGTCGGTGGTGGCCTCTGTGTTCACACAAATAAAAACGTGTTTGAATGTGGTTAATCCTAAGGCGTCTCTCTCTCGCGCGCACTCTCTCGTGCTCCCCCGATGAGAAATCTGTTGTTTTCTCCTGCCAGGTTTTTTCAGGGGTGTGCATGTATGGTTATCGATGTTTTCTTTCATCTCTATATGTTTTGGTGGGTGTTTATTTGCAATTCAGATCACTACCGGTAGAAAAACGGACCATGTGCCATAGAGTATAAGTTTGCTTTCAAAATAATATTTAAAAAATATTTAGTATGTAGAAATAACATCATATTCAGCTTCTACACAATTTCTAATAAAATTTCCTATAGAACATATTAAAATCGGAGTTACGTAAAAGATATGGATAATTTAGAAAAATATTTGTTTGACTTAAATATCTTCCAAAATAACATTTCAAAAATATTTAACAGGTAAAAATAACATCATATTCAGATTCTACATATATTTCTAATCAAAATTAATATATAGCATGTTCAAAAATCAAAGTTAAGGTTTAAAAGATATGGATAATTTTAAAAAATATTTGTTTGACTTAAATATGATCCACAGGGAATTACCTGAAAATTCAGGGGGGTTTCCGAAAAGAAGTAAAATAACGGGTTGGTTGTGACTTAAGTATGTACTGCGGATTAATTCACAAAAAATACATGGTTTTGTTTTTGCAAAATTATGTGACGGATCGCCAGAAGCACTCCTTACTTTATTATTAGGTAGAGAGGTAGAGACACAAGAATGTCGCTATGTCAATATTCCATTATATTTTCAACACCAAGATTTGGGTTTACCATTGAACTTGCTATCTGTGAGACAAATATATGCATATATGCATACATGAGATATACCTGATTCGTATATCCGTGGGGCAAAGATACCCACCGGGTTTGGGCATAAGCCTTTTTGTTACGGCGAAATCGACAGGCGAGCAACGACACTCAATTGTTGTATGCGAATGTCCGCCTAGAACACGATGCATTTTAGTTTTTGGTCACAATAATAAACTACTTTTAAAGATGAATTGGCACGCAATTATTGTTATAGTTGTTTGATCACAATATGATTTCTTTTAAAACAAATTCGCCTTAAGACATGCACTACAATCTAGTCACATCATATATAGAGAAAATAATAAGAACTTAAGTATATAAGAACTTCTTGAATTATCTACAATATTTGCTCATGAAGTAACACCAGCATGCTATAGTTCCTTCCTCTCCCACTTAATCTTCTTTCTTTAAAATTCTCTTGTTATATAAGAAAAGAAAACTTATCATAGTGTGCCCGGAGGGAAATCCAGTCACTTATTATCTGAGGAAAAAACACATTACTTTTGTGATCCTCTTGTTTCCATAGCGTCTTTCTCGACCTTCCCTCGTAAGATTCCCTGTAAAGCTCCTTCTCTAGTCCTCCTTCCGTGCACCATGCGTAACTCGTGGCTGAGACTGCTGTCAAGCCATTACTCTTTTGGAATATGTTGGAACTATGGGAAGGAGTGGGTCTAGGGTCTCTTAATCCGTCTCTGATGGGACTGCAGTGAGCCGGATCCATGATTGGTGAGCCCAAATCAGCAGAAGGCGGCGCCTTCATTCTCTATGGCGAGAGATCCCTGAAAGTCAGAGATTTTTTTTATGATGTGTACGGTGTTTCGACATGCTGCAAACATTCATATTGTTTTGTGCACACGCAAGCGATATATTGTTGTCTTTTGTTGTTCGGAATTACTGTGCGTATGATTTTACTCTGTCCGACTCTATATGATGCCTAATCTAGTGGTGTGCTGCCGTTTGGATCAGGAGTTGAATGGCTTGATCTGCTATGTCGTATGAAATCGGACAAGCAAGAGTCATACGCATAGCAAGACTCTTTGTTGTTTCTGTATGCTAGATGTATTTGTCTTTTCATGATCCGACCTATTTTTGAAAGAGCTGCCACAATCAATGGGGTTCTAGTTGCATGCCATTTTTTTTCTTGTGTGTGACAAAATGTTGGAATATTTTTCTCAATGTTTTCAATTATGTCAAGAAAAATGTTGCAAATAACACACAACATACATGTTGTATGTGCAGGATTTTGGTTGCATAGATTGGATGGCTCATGATCCGGCTTAAATCCAATCCAATAGATGGGTGGCAACTGATTTTCCAACAACATTAGAGGACGCCTTACAGCAAGGATAACCAACTACTAGATAGTACTCCCTCTGTTCCAAAATAGATGACCCAACTTTGTACTAAATTTAATACAAAGTTAAGTCATCTATTTTGGAACGGAGAAAGTATATCTTAGTGAAATGTTATTGATAGCTAATATAATACTAGTCAATATGTACATTAATTAACTATAGGTATGTACTGCTACTTACTAATGGACGACCTATTTTATTCTCACAGTTTTTACGAGCCGGTGTTGCATTTTTTTTAAGAATAACCCGTGATGCAGCTGCCTACGTCTCACCTCTCTTCTATCTCTCCGTTCCCTTTTTCCAACTCAGCAAAAATATGATGTGACAACTTGCGTGTTAATATCATCATATTTATGTGAATCAACTAGTGCTTGGATAGTTAGAAAGATAATGGAATCCCGGCCACCAGTGTTTCAAATGCTGAATGAATTGTACAAAACCACCATATTGACGCTCAGGTATCCAGAAAAGCATCAATTTGCAAATTTGGGACAAAACCACTGATTCTAAGCCTATTTTTTTTGCGAAAAAATACTAATTAATGGCTTAGAGCATTTTGATGATGATTATGACACGTGGGTCATGAATTTGATGATGTGGCATAATGATTCACGGTAGATGGCATTAGAATGGTCTTTTTTTTGCAAAAACCCCTCCATCCAAAAACAAATACCCATCCCCTACCCAATCTAGATTGGGATCTTGCCATCCCGCACGCCACCGCCCTTCCTTCCTCCTGCCAGCTGACATCATCGCTGGCGGTGTGTGCCCCTCCAGCTAATGATCCCAATTACGAGGCGCGTCGCTCGCCGCCGAGATCCTGCACGCGCCACCCGCCTCCTCTCATTGGTGGACTGATAGGATGCCCTCCTCAACGGCCGCTCTAGACGCGAGGGGGGCTGTGTTGGCAGCGCTGGCTCCTAGATCTAGTCTATGACGGTGGAGGGGAAGCACGGAGGGGGGGGGGGCTCGGGTATGCCCATGGCGGCGGCACCTACGAGAGAACAGAGGGAGCTCTGGGAGGGAAAAGGAGAGATAACATAAGAATGAGCGGAGGAGGAGGTCGGGTGGCACGGCGGTGCGGGGTTGCCTGCCGACCCGCCACTCAGAACAGGAGCTCGTTCACCGGCGTGGAAGCAACAACTGCGACATGAGCTGGTTGGAGAAGAAACAGAGACTAGTCGAGCTCGCCGACGTGCTGCATAGCGCAGCCGCCGCCGCCTCGCACCGGCAGAGCAGTGTGGAAAACCTTTGCTTCTGCGTGTTTAGGGACGCGCTGCCTCGAGTGCGCAGACTTAGGCGTCAATGTAGTGGTTTTTTGCAAATTACTCTTCAAATGCTAGACTTGATGTTAGCGCTCGCATTTTCCTAGATTTATTCAGGCCTTTCGACAATGTGCATTCAACGGAAGAAAACGTTTTCATCAACTACGAAGATGTGTGTAGCGACTTCATCAATCTCAAGATGATATGCCGGTTCAGTCTCTCGGAGGTGTTCATAGGGGGTAGATAGGGTGTGTGTACATGTGTTTATAGAATGAGTGTATATGCGTATGTACGAATCTCTACATCTGTACTGTGTTAAAGAAAATCATCATATCTATACTTGCTCTGAGTACATGACTATAACAGAAAGGAATATACAGTTAATTTAGTTACCTTATTGAAGCAAACCTACAAAAAAAGGAAGATGGCTGTAAATACCTACAAATTTAGTTGCCTCGTTCATGCGAACCCTAGTTTCTAGTAGTACAACTGAGTTTTTTGATTGCGTTATTAAAAATGGAATGCTAAAGGGCGAGAAAACGAAGCGAAGATGGCGGCGACCTTTCCAGATTCCGCTCCGTAGAAAAAGGAAGAGATCCCAACAACGCTGGCTGTAAATACCGGCGAAGAAGCCCAGGAAAGGAACCACTACGGCGCACCACCACCTCCGAACGAACCAGAAACCACCATCCTCCGCCTCCACGCTCCCAAACCAAAACCCCCAACCATCTCTTCCCCTTCGGAGCGCAGCGCGGTGGGTCTCCTTCCGTAGCCGCGCCGATGTCGTTGCCGGCCGCGATGGCGGCGGCGGCCCGGGAGCACGTGGAGAGGATCCGGCGCGACCGCTACTACATTGGCCGCGGCGAGCAGAACCCGCTAGCCGAGGACATGCACCAGGCCGTCAACTACCTCAGCCAGGAGCTCTACTCCAGGGACGTCCACTTCCTCATGGAGCTCGTCCAGGTGACGAATCTCCTCTTTCTCGCAGTGTACTTTTTCTAGTAGGACTGGTATGATTTATTTACAATTTGCACAATTTTCAAGAAGAAATCAGTCAAATTCGTCTCCACCGTTGTGGTTTTAATTTAATTTCGGACTTGCCTACAAATGATAAGACAGTTTAATTACCGTGCGGTAAAGCCGTCTCAACCCAATAAAACAAGCTAGTACGTTTTTTACCCCATCTACTTGGTTTGTACAGAAATGGATATCCATGTGTTCATCACTACCAAAGTGACCTTTTTTTTCTTCTTGTATTATATACTACTACCTCCTATCCACAAAAAGTGTCGCAGTTTTGAACTAAACCCAGTTCAAAACTAACTGTGGCCCTTATTTTGGATCGGAGGGAGTATCAAATTTCCGATGATTAATTCCTGCGAGTCCCGTGTAGCTCAAGCTACAGAGCTACACAAAACCACACTCTTTTCTTTTTTACTTCCTTTTTGTTAAAAAATTACTTGTCTCCCCAAACGATTTTATTGAATTAAACAAAATGCTTTACATTTTCTTGTAGCATACAAAGTGTTATCTTCTGTTCCTGTATTTCCTTCGGAGGATTTCTCCTGAGTTTTGCATGCTGTAAATGCCAAGTCACTCTTGTGTTTTGCTCATCACAAGAGATTGTTTGGGAATACATGGTTTCTAGAAATGGTTTTATACTTGTGAAACAGATTAGATTCAGATTCAACTTAACATTTTAGTTTGAAGGTGATTTCCACCCTTTTAAAACCTGCTCTTTGAATACCGTGGTTATCCATGCAAGGAATTTGGAACTCAGGAATTTGCTACAAAAAATAAGTGTTTAGTTCATGGCCTATTTAATTCATGAAAGGAGCAAATTAGACAAGTAATGCATGCTTGTAATAACTAATGAACGAATTGTCCTTCCTACTTACAAATGTTGGGGTTGATGATGAGTTCACAAGTGGGACACCACGATAGACAAATGTGCTTCTACCAACATGTGGAACCAGCAACCCTTCCAAGAGACATAAGTAAACAAATGCTACTTTTTCTTGGTACCAGACCAATCCCAAATAAAAAAAAAATACACTGCTAGCCTTATATGACATTAACACTATTTTAAAAATACAAATTATAAATGCAAATATGTGGATCCAACTCAAAATCATTGTCTTGATTTTTGTTTCAATCAATTCTTCTAGATCTATATCATACCAAACAAATTGCAATTTCAACACACAATAGGCATTGTCACTCCTACCTAATCCAGGATCCTGCGCATTCAACTTACTCATGCCATTCTGCCATGTTTCAAAATTAAAAATGTTTGTCATTATAAATCCTTCAATGAACCTACTATGGCCGCTTAAGATTCTCCAACGACTGCAACATGATCTTTTGTTATATGTTGGCTATTTTTTTAATCATGAACCATGCAATAGCCGCAAGACACTATCATATTGTTAAGATCTCCTGAACCAAAGGTAGCTCCTCGCGTTTCTTATGGTTAAGTGGTAATGCACAAACATTTTGCTAGTAAACTATATTATTATCACCACATGAAAGCTAACTGAAATATTGTATGTGTAGTAGTGTAACAACATATGGCATAAAACACAAGCCATACCCCAAGCAAAGGCAAGCATCCATCATTCAAGTTGTCGCATTTATCTATTTCAATGATTTGGACATGTGAGTACATATTGCGCAATTTTAACTTTGGCCATTAGAACCGCAATGATTTCTTTAGACCAATCAAGCTCTTGCACGGCAGTGGCAGAGCCAGGAATTTGCTCCTTGGTATTCCTTGCAATAGAAATATAAGATAGGATTTTTTTGCAATAAGCTAGCAACATCAATGAGTCAATGACCTATATTGATATTAGTAGCAAAATATCGGTGTGGCAATATCAGTCTCTAACAGTTAAGGAAGATTGCAAAACAACAAAGGAAATTACAATATAACTCATTTTGTTCCTTAGTTGATTCTTAACATATTTCCAAAAAAAAAGTATACCCTTTTAATGTTAGAAGTGACTATCGGAAGAATGAGCACCAACTTCTAATAGTAATATGAACAATAGTAATATGAATAATGGAAAACTTGAATTACATAAACTGGATAATATACATAGTGGCAAACCATATCTTTTCAGATGCAGGGACTATCTTTCCGCCATATCCATTGTCATATGTGTAGGTATATAGCTTTTCATGTTGAATAATTGCTTCAACATTAGACCATTTTCACAAAGCATACTAAGAAAGACAAAATTGGATGTTGTTTCTAAGAAGTGGGCTGTAAGTGTGAAATTTCTTCACAGTGCTCAAATGTGTTCTTTATATTGATACTACAATGATTTGCACTGAAGAGGACAGGTATCCCACCATGCTATTATGTGATGAACCAAAACATGATAGGATGGCATGAAATTCCATAAGCAATACTTTTTTTTAAATTTTCCTTGTAACTGTAATTCAGAAGTTTGCTACTAAGATTGGTGAAATGCAACAAAAATTTGCTGAACTAGTGTTTCGCTGGATCAGCTTTTTTCTCAATCTTATTTAGCCAACAGATATAAGTGCAGTTACATTATGTCACTTTGTAAAGAGCCTTTCTTTGATGTGTATCTTACAATTAAGACTAGCAGAATCGCCATGTTTCACTTGTATGCTCTCCTGTTAGTGAATAAATTTTTATGCCATATTTTAAGTTTAATACTTTCTTCCTCTAAAACTAGAATGCTGAAGATAATGAGTACCCTAGCGGAGTAGCGCCATCTTTGGAGTTTCTAGTTACATCCAATGATGTTACTGGATCTGGTGCATCATCTACTTTGCTCATCTTCAACAATGAGAAAGGCTTCTCTCCATCCAATGTTGAGTCCATTTGTCGTGTTGGAAAGTCAACTAAAAAAGGAAACAGGGACAAGGGATACATTGGAGAGAAGGTACATCTTTGCATCCCACTTATAAAATCCCTTTGTTTTCTGTTTTGGCAAACGAGAGAATTTACTCTTTGGTGTTATTCCTTTAATTTCAGCAAGGAATCGGTTTTCTAACTATTCTTCTCAAGCACTATGATAACTGACATAGCTAATAGATGACATGTAAAATGATTGAAATATTAATCAGTACTTAATTAGGATGGTGATGAACTAGATTCTAGACGGGGTCAGTATCCTCAACCTAAATGTATTTTGTAATATTTGTTTTGGGTGGGTCATGATGTACTGTATTGCCTTAGAATTTGGGTGCCATGAACATGCACTCAAACTAACACTCTGTCAGAAAAAAGATGTGACGATTATGCGTACTCTTGTAAAAGATTTCCAAGTTTTAAGTTCTTCCATACTAAAAAAATGTGTAAAAAATATTCTTCACTGCTTGTGCATGTTGAGCATGTGACAAATCTTGTAGAAATCATTTCAGACTAAGTTATGGTTTCAGCGTTATTGGGAAGTGAAGAAAATATTGTTCACCTTTTTCCTCCAATGGGTGTAAACTCGCCCCTAGGAGTATTATATCCAGCCGTCAATGAACCTCAAATAGTTTTTGGATGCTCCTATAAAATTAATGACTTGCTACTTGTCAGAGTGCTAGGCTTTGACACCCAATTTTATGCTCCATTATATCAATAAAAAGGCTGATAATCTGTCACTGCTACTTCAATTTTTTGATAGGAAAGTAGGGAGAGCTCCTAGCTCAATTTCAATGAAACAAAATTGTTTGATACATCCAAGTTCACAGACATAGATTGGTATCCATGTCAGCAAAAGGCAAAGTGAAAGTGTTAACATCCCACCCAGTTTGTAAAACAGAGTAGAAACGGAGCCAAAATACTGAAACTGATGAAGGCTGGTACTTCAAACACTCTATGTGACATACTATGTAGTGGAATCCTATACATCACTCATCTTGATCCTTATTATGTGTTAAGGTGTAACTTCTTTTCTTACTATTGCCGTCGGAATTCTGGGATCTCTTGCCCTCCTAGACCTTCCTTGGCAACAACTGTATTTCTGGGAGCTCCCATGGAACTTCCTTAATTTGCCAAACACAGCCAAAGCGGGTCTCACATCATGGTTTGTTTAAACGTCATTTTGTCACATTGATGAACATCATTGCACCGTTAACTGAACGTTCCTTGGTTGGACAATATGGGATAACTTGTTACGGCTTGGATTATTATTTGAAGTGCAACAATACCCTTATTTAACTCTATGTGCTATTAACAAAAAAAAACTGTAGTCTGCATCAATAGCTTGGAGATTCTTAAACTTTAAACTTGGAGATTCTTAAACCTTAAACTTTAAATTTCATTTTAGACCATGTTTGTGATGTTGGGACAGTTTGGACTATACATTTTTTATTTTGACAGGTTGAACCAGATTTATAACATGGTCGAAATTTCACTTCATTTTGCTTCAATCTTCTAGTTTATGCATGCCTAGCATTATAAGATGTGAAAATATCCACAAATGCATTTTATTTCAGCAGTCATCCTTGTTAACCCCTTTCATTTGAAGAATTACAACAAACAGCTATTTACCTACTTTACCATTTGTACCTCTTATATTATTATGACTTCACGGGGCGAAAGCCTTTTTCGGTATTATTATGACTTCAATGTTGTGATACCTTGTTGCACTTGATGTAGGTATCGGGTTCAAGAGCGTTTTCCTGATATCGAGCCAGCCCCATATATTCAGTAATGGCTACCAGATCAAGTTCAATGAGAAGCCTTGTTCGGAGTGTAACATTGGATACATTGTCCCTGAGTGGGTTGAGTCAAAACAGATCCTTTCAGACATAAAAAAGATATATGGGCGATCCAAGGTCCTCCCAACAACCACTATCATCTTGCCTCTGAAGGACAAGAAGGTTAGTGTCGTAAAGCAGCAACTGTCGAGCTTGCATCCAGAAATGCTACTGTTTCTGTCAAAGATTAGGCGGCTCTCTGTACAGGAAGCCAACTCCAATCCAAAAGGCAGCACAGTCAGTGAGATTGCAATATCTAGTGAAAAGAACTACCAAGCGAGGAAGAACATGCACGCAGAGTCTTACACGGTCCATTTATCAGCTCAAGAGAATGGGAAAGAAGAAGAGTGTGGCTACTATATGTGGAGGCAGAGTTTCCCAGTAAAACCAGAGAACAGAGTGGACAAACGTGCGGAGATCGACGAGTGGG